TAAGTCTTTATATAGCTTTATGTAATCACTTATATAAATTATTAAATAAAGATACGAGCAAGACCTCACCTTTAATACAAAAAAAAAAAAAAAAAAAAAAAAAAAGAATTGACATTAGCAAAGATATGATTCAAATCACTATACTCATCAAATTTTCTGAAAATTTTTATAGATTTTCGAACACTGATTCCGGTTATCTGTACTATACTTTACAAACTCCTACAACTATTTGCACTGTTCTCATGAGAACATATTCGGATCTGAATTGACCAGAATTTTAAAAAACCATACTAAACTAATCCGCGATAATTTTTAATGCTACATCTAATTATATATGACACTGGATCAGTTCGGTACAAACTTTAATAGGGTATTTCACCCCATACCATACTAATCTGAGTAATTTAGAAATGATCTTGACAGATAATTATTATATGAAAGGGTGAAACCCGCGACAGAGATAGTTACGCTGTTGATGCAGATTTTACTTAGTTAGGGTTAGTTACTATATTAGATAGTGATCTGCATCAATAACGTAACCACTCTCGCGGGTTTCTATCGCGGGTTTCACCCTGTCGTATTATTATTGATACGGAATATCTAATGTGAAACAAGCTAAATGAGAAGTGCCGCAGCTAATATTAAATACTTAGATCAATAAATAATTGCTACATTAATATGAATAAAGTTAAATGAGGAATTAATTAATATTTTTATGCTCAATTGATAATTGCTATATTGTAGGTGTTCAAAATTAAAGATACTCATCTGATTTTGGTTAACGTTATTTGGGTATAAATAAGTTAAAAAAGCAAAAATTGAATTAATGTGAATACAGTATGTAGCCTTGAAAAATTTATGCTACACAAACGCCACATACGTATTCACAAATTAATAAACAAAAACTGATTCGATTGAGTTACTGAAATGAACAATTAGCATTACCGTTACTCAACCTTTATTCCTTCCTGTATAGATAAAACCGGATATCCAGCTTGATCACAGTTTAATTTTATAAGTAATCTGGTCTATTATCTAGATAACGACTGTTTGATATTATGTGACAAAGTATCATATGAACTATTTCAGCCTAACAGATTCAAGATTTTATGAATCCACAATTCTTAATTGGTTAATGCAATCCTGAAAGACAATTAAAAAAAACTCATTTATAAATGATCATCATGCAGTCGAGAAAAAAGAGCGATCAAATCTCATAGAATGTATAAATATGGTATATCGTGATGTTCAAGTGCCGAAATTCACGTTTTCATTGCATCCAATGCATTGCCCTATTAGTTATCGTTATAAGATTTTAAAATTTTGCAGACGTACGTACGTACATAACTTGCTATAGTATATACCGTACTTCGTGATATTGCATATCTGGTTCGTAACGTACGTACAAATATTTTTTCTTTATATTGAATTTGACGAAAATGGGCAAAGAAAGCAAGCATCATCCTATTATTAATAAATACGACGTAGATGGAGAGAAAACGATTTGTTCAATTTGCAAGAAAGAATATAATTCTCCTTTGAACATTTCAACAGCGAAAAATCATTTTAGAAGAGACCATCTTAATATTTGGAATAAATTAAAGTTAGATGGTAAAAGTGGAAAATCTAAATCTCGTCATGAGGTTTATGAATATTTTTCAGTGAATGATTTCGGTGAATATGAGTGTAGTTTATGTTCTCAAAAGTATAATGAACCTCTCTGTAACGAGTTGAAGTATCATTTTTCTCGTTATCATAAAAACGTTTGGAATGATATTAAAGGAAAAAAGAAAGAACGTGGTGATAGACAAGAAAATTATAATGAAGACATGGCTGAAAGCTCTCAAACTAACTTTATGAATAACGATGAAATTCCGGATCATGATACGATTAATATTTCTTCTGATGCTAGTAACAATGATGATAACAACGCAGAAATGGCAGAAAACATGCAAAAAATTAATCTCATAGAATATATTGAAATAGAAAATGAAAATACAGAAGTTAAGATTAAAAGAGACGAAGTTAATATTAAAGGAAAAGCAAAGCTTGTTTTTAAGTGATTTACAGCATCTTTTTTATGGGTGATATCAGAATTTTATGTTTACATAAAAATTGCATGATTGAAAATAACTTTAAGAGTATGTGAATTAAATATTATGATTGTAATATTTGATTTTTTATTTTCGTTCTATAGGCGTGCTGACAATTTATAATTTAATCATTAAATATAAAATTATTCTTCAGTTGCATTCTGTGATGTTAAATGATAATTGAATAGTTGTTGATCATTTCAAAGAATAAAATACTTAGGTCATTTAACACATATTAATCTAATACTCTTAACTAATTATATTGTTACGTAAAAAAGATAATAAATTGTAAGACATAATTCACTTTCCTGACGCTTAAGATAAGAACATTGATGATATAATACGTTCCATTTCATTTACCATTATCTTAAGGCATTGCTATTATAAAGTTTCTTCAAAATTCACGAATAAATGAAAGTAATAATGGGAGGTTTATAATAAGTTATAGTATTATCAAAACCATCTTTCCTTATGATTGTACACATCAATTTACCGATCTTAATATCGTTAGAATCACAAAAACTACCTCTACAACTTTAATTAAAAGTCCACAAGATCAGATTAACTTTATATTGTAGAAAAAGGTTATATATATTATTGTAAGAATCTACTATTTGAATTCTTATTTATTTGTGGATTATAAATTAAAAATAAATGAACTCAAAATGCCATTTATTAAGAAGAGAATGAAGGCAAAACACGAAGAACGAAAAGATGATATTTTTTTTTAAAATTTTAAAATTTTATAAAAAAAAAAAAAAGTAAATATAAAAGAAACAAATTAAATACAGTAATCTGTTTATGTTCTGCATCGATTATAAATTTTGTCAATTATTAACATGTTTTATTCATTAATTTTTACCGATTGAAAAAGATTTAGGTCAATTTTTAAAATATTTAGATATCAAACTTATTGTAATTAATAAAATTAAAGTTTATTAAAAAAAAACCCCCTCAAAATTATCATTACCAGTATATTTATGAAATTATAACTTTCTTGAACTATCATTCAAGCGTACCTTATATTTCAGTAAAGTAAATTAAGAAAAAACTATCATACATAAAAAGTATGTTAATAAATCTTCATATCAAATATATCGTATTTATATTAGCAAAATAACGATTCAAGTTTGCTAAGAAAAATCTTTCTATATTAATATTAATATTACTTAAGTTAAATATTGTAAACAAAAAAAAATAAATAAATAAAACTTTTAAATTAATTACGTTCATTAAATAGTTTTTGTAAATAAAGTCACCCTCAAAATAAGCACCCTGACCTGCACTATGTCAATTTTGGCCTGCATCATAATGATCTTGGCCAGCATTACATGCAAAAAATGGATGCCTAATTTCGGAACGGTACATTTTTAAATTCATAAATTGGGTTCATCTAAGAATGCCAAACTTTGTTACTATTTATGAATAAGCTTGGGTAAAATAATTCTCTAGCCAAAACATGAAAATTGCTATCATTTACAATAGTTTTATTCAAAATTTTATTTACATTAATGCAAATAAAAAAAATTACATTGAATTGCTATGAACCACTGTCGTGGGTAAATCTCAATGCACTTAAAATCGGTCAATGTTATAAACGTGCAAATGCACTTTACTCTCGTTCTCAACATTGCATCTTTCCCTTTTACACCTGTCAACACCTTTAACTACAACTTCGTTACCACAAGGCTCGATCACGTTAAGGCAAGGCACAGGTTTATAATTATACAAGAAATCAATTTTTTAAAAAAATGACTTATGTGATCATAATATGGAATTTATAAACTTTGTCAATTGAAGTTCAAATTTTGTTGGATTGGAATTGTAATTTCGAACAAATTGGTTTAAGTGATGATGAAGAACTATAAGGCATAGCTGCAAATGGATCAAAATTAATATATTTATTTATTTTTTTTTAATTTTGCTCGACACTGACACTGACACTGAAAATATAACTAAATCATGTCATAAGGCTCAAATTTATTACCAAAATTTGGCTTGGCGATATGTTATTTTGCAGTTACAGTAGTCGTGAAGTTTTAAAGATTAGTTATTAGATTATAATAAATGTTTATTTATTGCCATAGGTTCTTATGAAGAATCAGTAATGGAATCCACTTTATTGCTTCTAACATTGGTGAGCGTGTACTTATCACATCACATAAGCATTGTAGCTCAGAAAGGATCAAAACCTTCATAGATTTCACGATGAAGAAAGAAATTTCAATTATGAATTAATTGATCCTTATAGTTTGATAAATCCTGTCAATGCCAACGAACTTTTTAGTTGTTTGAAGGCTAAAATTAAAACGCCATACATAATTAAATCAGGAAATATAATTTATGCAGATGAACAATTATTTATTGAAAAATCTGACTGGATTAGTTAATTTGAATGATTACAACAAAATTTCAACACCTCCAGGTAGTAATGAAATTGTTGATTTTATAAAAGACGTTTATAGTGGAGTTATAAAACCAAGCAGTAGTAGTGTAGAAGAAGAAACAATAATTAAAAATGAAGGAGATTTGATAAAATGTACTTTTAGATGTGCATATAACAGGAGGAACCGTTGATGTTACACAACTAATTTTACGCACGGCGTGAAATACATTTGTCACTCGATCACCCGGATATAGACGGAAACATCACTACGGAAACAATAAACGGGATCTCGCCTTGCTGCTCACGTGGTCCACAGTCATTTCCTAGCATCGTTCTTTCTTTCTCTATTTCCTTT